TGTCTTCTACAAACTCCATAAATGCAGCCACCACCTCTTTAAAAGATACACCCATTGTAGTTAAAGAGGGGAATGATGTAAGTGGGCAGGTGGTTAAGCCCATTTACCCTTGAAGGTTTAGATAATGACGGTCCTCTAACGCTTAACCAGAGAGCTCTTACATCTTGCGGAGCTGTACAAGCTGGGTATACAGTAATCGCTGTAGAAGACATTCCTTCAACAACTTCAGATCACATTTCTTTATTCCCCTCTGAGGTACAAAACCCTAACTTACCTACCAACAACACACTAACTTCTGAACTTTTTCTTGACAATGACCTTCTTGAAGATGATAATACCCCTCCAGAAGAAAAATTAGATAATGAACCAGCCTCACCTACCGTTTTACACAACCAAAGATTCCATACTGGAGCATTCAATATAGATGGCTACACTGATTTTAATACTTGCTATAATAAATTCCTTTTTCATCACAGGCTACCCAGTTTCCCTGCACCTCAAACCATAGGCACTTTCCTTCAAAATTTTCATGAACACTTTCCTACATTCTATTCCAACCAATATATCCAAATCACTATAAAACAACACCCTTATTATGATTCAGTTTTTACAGAAGGACATATATACCTTCTCTATGAAAATATCCTTCCTGACCATACTACCTTTATATCTCTTGAAGAACTCTTCCAATTTTATAAGTAGAACTTAAATCTTCCAACTCTTCCTCTTCAACACTGCCCTCTAATTCAACCTACTTTCTCTTTAACCTTTCTATCTGTACTCATAATATTTGTGGCTTTAACCAGAAGCTAAAACAACAAGTCTGGGAAGATTACTGTCTAACCAACAATCTAGATATTATTAGTCTAACTGAAACAAAACTTGCTTATAATTCATTCTACTCTAAACCACTAGCAACTTCCTCCTACACATACTTTTGGTCATGTACAAATAGCTCCAAAGCTAGGACTGCTATTATGATTCGTAAACACCTCACCCCTCATATTTACAAAATTACTATCTATCCGGAATATACCCTATTTATAGATCTTTTTTTTCAAACACGACTTCAAATTTCGCATTATTTCTTCTTACCTTCCTAGCAATGACTCAACTACTAGACTACATACTCAAAATCTTATTATTCAATGGATTCAGCAAGCTACCTCATCTAACTTGCTTCCTATTATTCTTGGTGATTTCAATGCTACTCCAGACTCGCACTCTCTTTCTCTAACAAGTTTAAACTTCTCTAATTTCTTACTTTTAACAACATGTACAATCTAGCTGCTCACACTTCATCTTCTTCACCCACCTGGCAAAGCTCTAGATATAGCAGTGAAATTGACTTTATCTGGAGCCATCACACTATACTCACATACCTAACCTCTTTCGAAACTGATGATACTAATACTAACTCTTTTAGTGATTACAAAATTCTTATCACCCGCTAGTCATTTCCATATGCAATACAAGGCCAATGTAAACATAAAACCCGTACTCGCGGTAGAGTTTTCAATTATAAAGTTATGGACTCTGCAAAATAGAAAGAATTCTCGAACCAAATTCATAACAATCTTCTGTCTAACTCTACCCCTCTTTCTTTACATATTGATGAATCTATCGAAACTACCTAGCACAAAATACAAACCAGTATTATTTCTGCAGCTCTAAAACATATTCTCAACAAAAAATTCACAGTTCATAATTTTCAACATGTATTCTCCTGCAAGGCTTCTTTACTACATTTTATCTTAAAAAGCTTGGCAATATTATAAGACATATCAAGCACTCTTTTAACACTAATTCACATATTCCTCTATACTTTGAATCTACTATTTCTTTAATTAACAACTCTCTTAAACTTCAAATACCTCCTATTCTTACCGATTATAACCTACTCTCTTCTTGGATATCCACTGCTATAAGAAGTGAAAAAATATCTATCTTGTCCGAAATATTGAAAACATAAAAGATATTAGACAACATATTAATGACTCCATCC